TCAGGATCCTGTGAGAAACGCCTCCTTCCTCTTTGCTGTCCTGTTGATTTGGCTGCTCTCACTCCCTGCAGTTTGTGGGTTTCCTGCTGCCACCTGTCTTCCTGCTCTCTGGTGTAATTTTCTTCCTTCTCTTGGCACGACGGCCTGAGTTCTGGCCTGCGGAATCTCACTGCTGTCATTAGTTTGTTCTTTTGAGTTCTCTTTTTTGCTCCACTTTTCACTTGCATTTATCCTTTAAGTCGATTTAGTTCATGTGAGCCATTTCTTTCTTTCTTTCTTTTTTTTTTTTCGTAGAGACAGAGTCTCACTTTGCACCCTTGGTAGAGTGCTGTGGCATCATAGCTCACAGCAACCTCCAACTCTTGGGCTTAGGCGATTCTCTTGCCTCAGCCTCCCAAGTAGCTGGGACTACAGGTGCCCGCCACAACGTCCGGCAGTGCTGCGGTTTGGCCGGGGCCAGGTTTGAACCCGCCACCGTCGGTATATGGGGCCGGTGCCCTACTCACTGACCCACAGGAGCTGCCCAAGCCATTTCTTACCTTATAAAGCTACTTGAAAAACGTGAGCATCTTTTGGTATCCAGTATTTTATGTGTGAAGGCTGGATTTTGGAGTTAGTCCCATTTTGTACCATTCTTCATTTTCCAGTAGTAATGGTATTGGCTGCAGTCCAAATACAGGAACACTCTTGTATTCCTTTGAGCGTCTCTCCTGCCTCCTCCTCTTTCCTGCCCTGGTAGACGGGTCAAGCAGCTGGGTAGGTGTAGCCTGAAGGGTTGTGTCCAGCCTCTGCTTCCTCACCAGTGTCCTTCTTGCCCATACCGTCTCCCACATCAAGGGGCTGAAAAGGCAGGGCTATCCAGAGCATTCCCCAGAATCGGCCTCCCAAGGAGGCCCACCCTCACCCCTACAGATATCGGGCTGGGGCTGGTGCCAGGGGACAGGAGGAAAAGATAGGGTCCCTGCCTGAGTGGAGCTCCTTTGCTGGTGCTGGGGGCTATGAAGCTGTGTGGGGGCTTGCCAGGAGGGGCGTTCCAAGGAGGTGGACCAGCACCAACATGAGGCATGACAGGTCATGCATGTGTCGGGAGGACCAGCACAGAGAGGCTGGGCCCAGTTGCGACCCCTCGGTGGGCGGCCAGGAAACAGGGATTCTGAGCAGGTGGCAGGGCCTTACTGCAAAGAAGCAGGGGGTTGAGTTTTTTTTGAGGGACTCTCCTGTAATGATGCTTGTGATTTGGGAGGGTAGACTGTTGACCCCAGCATGGTCTTAAGGAAGGCGAAATCTGCTCTTGACTCTCTCAAGTGATGATACCTGAAGCTGAGGGCTTTGAGCATGAGGTGGCACTGAGGAGACTTATGGCTGTCCCAGAACTTTGCAAGGTTGTGACCTCATGACGACACTAGGATGCATTGTTGCCATTAGTAACCTCAGTTTTTGGATGGGGAAATGGAGGCACAGAACAGAGAAGCATCTACTCCAAGTTATGTAGCTACAAGGGCTTCACACCCAGGGGCCTAACACTGTGCCAGGTCCTGTGCACATTAGATCCTGTTCAGTCCCATCACAGCCCCGCCAGGTGGCTTTTCCATCCTTTTTCTGGAAGAGAAAGAGCCTGTCCACATTTCTCAACCAGGCAGTGGCTGGGTGGGACTTAATATTTCTCAGGCTTCTTCATAACAGAACAGGGGTATGTAACAGTTAAAAAACAAACAAAAAAGCCCAAATTTAGCTTCTTGGGACATTTATCTCTTGCTTAGTGTTTATTTCCTGTAAGCAGTCACCAAGATTAAGGAAGTGATGTCATTTATCATTTGTGTCATTGACTCGCTGTCTTTCAGCCTGATGGTTTTGTCTGCAGGTGGCTGCCCAGCCATTCCGTTCCGTACCCATGCATCTCATGAGTAAGGAGTAAGCCCTTCCTTCAGGGCCCAAACGACCTGGCTGAGTTGTAGGATATCCTGGGCACCCACCGTGTTCAGGCCGTCATGGGGTAGTCGACATAAACCTAGTGTAGAACGGGACATAGAAAGTCTTGTCCTCTGTACGTATCCTGATCGCATAACTCCTCCCAGAATCCTGCAGAATGAAGCACCGTGTTTGGCTGTGTATAACGCACACCTTTTTGCCCAAATTTTTGAGGGAAAAATAAGGATGAGATTGTATATGGGTGGTGCTGTGTGTTGCTGGTGCATACAATTCCATATACCTCATACCTATTCTTGTGTTTTGTAATAGTTACATAAAATTTCTTGTACCATGATATGTTAAAAAATAAATGCTAGAATTCCTTTATAATAGAAAAAACAAGTACCTAAATATAAGCAAATAAAAATTTGAAATAAAAGGGATGGTGCTTGTGGCTCAGTGGGTAGCGCCCTGGCCCCATACACCCAGAGTGGCAGGTTCAAACTCAGCCCTGGCCAAACTGCAACAAAAAAAAATAGCCAGGCGTTGTGGCGGGTACCTGTAGTCCCAGCTACTCTGGAGGCTGAGGAAAGATAATTGCCTAAGTCCAGGAGTTGGAGGTTGCTATGAGCTGTGACGCCATGGCAGTTTACCAAGGGGGCGATAAAGTGAGACTCTGTCTCTACGAAAAAAAAATTAAATAAATTCAAGTGAAAGATTTTTTTCCCTGAAACTTTGGGCCAAAAATGTGGGTGTGGATTATACACAGGAGCACATTACACATGGCAAAATATGATATATTATCTTCCTTTTGCTGTATTTGTTCTGACAAAAATGTGCAAATCCTAAAGCCCCAGAATGAGCAGTTAGGGAGTGCGGCTCAGGCTGCGCAGACTTGATGGATAGATGATGGCTGCTCCGGGGACTCCTCAGACCCAGGCCTGCACACCACCAGGTCTTCCTGTAGGTGCCGCCCTGACTTCACAGCCAATTCAGCCTTGGAAGTGGCTGTCTCTTCCCACCGTAACTTATATGAGGGCAAGAGTTCTGTCATGGCCTAGAAGAGACGCTTGGTAGGCTTGCTGAGCCTGTGGGCTTGGCCTGCTGGGAAAGGGCACTTGGTGTGCTCTCAAGGCAAGCAGGAGAGCAGAGCGGCCCACGGTCCCTGCTCCCCCCTCCCCGGCTCTGCCCCTTCTACCCCCAGTAACCCTGGCTATGCAGAAGGAAGAATGAGCCATGCACAAGGGGCTTGGTTCCATCTACCCCCCTCTGTGAGATGCTTAATCACTGCAGAGAGAATTTCTCCATAAAAGAGAAAAACAGGATCCTCTAATAATTTAAATTGTATGTTCCTAAATTGGGTCTTCTTAATGTAGATTAAAGCTATAAGATAGGCAGAAATCCAAAAATTAAATAGTGTATTTTATCAAGGAATCCGTAAGGAAGCAGACATTATCCTAACACCACTAGTGAGAATGCAAGATGGTACAACCCCTGTCGGGGAGAATTTGGCAATAGCAAAACTACATGTGCACATAACTGTTTGTCAGGGCATAAGGATTCACCCCAAAGAGACGCTGGTAAAATAGGCAAAGCGCTGTGTGAAGACAGTTCACGGCAGCATCGTGTGGAACAGTGCAGAACAGGATTCTCGTGAAGACGGTACTGGTTGAATAGACATGGCGTGTCTGTCCAGTGGAGAAGGACAGCCCAAGGAAGCTCAGCATCTCTGTATATTGCTAAGGAGGGGACAAAGGTATCTGTGGTACTGTTTACAAAGGGGAGACAAAAATACATATGTTTTCCCATATCTCAAAAATGGATAAATCATATATTTTTTTTGTCTTTGTCTCACTCTATCTTACTTTGTCGACCTCGGTAGAGTGCCATGGCTTCACAGCTCACAGCAACCTCCAACTCCTGGGCTTAGGCGATTCTCTTACCTCAGCCTCCGAGGTAGCTGGGGCTACAGGCACCTGCCACAACGCCCAGCTGTTTTTTTGTTGCAGTTTGGCCGGGGCTGGGTTCAAACCCACCACCCTCGGTATATGGGGCTGGCTCCCTACCCACTGAACCACAGGCGCCCCCCTGCCCCCCTTAAGCTACCTATGGGAGCCTGGATAGCAGGGAAAGATGTAAAAACTAGACTTCCGACTCTACCTTGTTTTGTAGATTTGACTTTGGAACTGTGACTGTAGATCTTTTGCATCATTATAAAATAAAATCAAGTAAAAGTTTATGACCTTGAACATTTCCATAGACACTGTCAGATTTTTCTCTAAGCAGTTTGCACCTTGTTCACTTCCTCCCAATACTTGACTTTTCTGCCATGACTTTGCCACCACTAGATTATCTTTTAAAACTTTGCTAATCCCATGGGTGAAAAATAGATTGCTATTTTCATTTGTATTCTCTGATGACTGGAGTGATTAAGCAGATTTTAATTTGTTTTATTAGGTGTTTTGTGTTTCTTTGGTTACATGCAAGTTCATAGCCTCTTTTTAATACCAGAAAGTTTTTTTCCTACTGATTTATAAACACTATATTGTGGATATACTTTTTACCTGCTGATTATTAACAGGTTCAGGGCCTCATCTGCAGTGAAGTTGTCAGGCCCTGACTGTAGGAGCTGTGTTTTTTTCCCTGTTGTTTTATGTTGAGATTTTCTACAAGAACATTTATGCGTGATACATGTTTGTGTTATTCTAGAATTATCTGTGGGCCAAACTTCACTAAAATGAGCAAGTGCTGGACATCAGCGTGTGGGCTCTTAGCCAACCCAACTGTTTGCTACTCCTTTCTGTTGTAAATTTTCTAGAACGTAGTGCCACGTCTAAGTAGTGAGTAGTTATAAGTGTCCATTAAGTTCATCACCAGTAAACAAATTTCATTGTCTTTTTGGTTGTAGATTGTTTTTGATTTTTAGTGACCCATGGTAACTTTTTCTGTTGTGTTCACTGTACTTACCTGAATGAAATAGTAATTTTTTATTTTATACACACATTTTGGAGGTAGACTTTTTAAAAGTGTTTATAGCTGTAGACACTCGTCCTTTGTTCACAGATATATTGAATATGTTTCTTTCTCTGTAGGTCATCACTCCATGTAGGAAGCTCATTTTGTGTGCTGATAACAGAAAAGAAATGGAAGATTGGATTGCAGCTCTGAAGACTGTCCAGAACAGGGAGCATTTTGAGGTTAGGAAAATATCTTTATACAAATGCCTGCTGTTGCCTCTGTGGCCCTTTCCCTAATGTCCTGCTGCCTGAGACCTCCCCGTGCAGACCAGCGGTTCTGGAACTCATGTTCTCAGCATGTTTCTTACCAAATGGGGGCTGCCACTGGTTCTTTCTGTGGAGTAGACCTGCACACTAGGATCCTGTCCTTCGTAAACCTTCCTCCTCCCTTTCTTGGGCACTTTGTTTAATTTTAAGTTGCCACACTTAAGAATTTCAAAGGTCCACTTATCTTTGCCATCTTTATTTATTTCTTCCAGCCCACCCAGTACAGCATGGACCACTTCTCAGGGACACACAATTGGTATGCCTGTTCCCACGCCAGGCCAACCTACTGCAATGTGTGCCGGGAGGCTCTGTCTGGGGTCACGTCCCACGGGCTGTCTTGTGAAGGTACAGATGATGTGTTTCTTTTTTTTTTTTTTTTCCATCTGAAGACCTTTGGGGTCCATTTTTTTTTCTTTTTTTATTGTTGGGGATTCATTGAAGGTATAAGAAACCAGGTTACACTGATTGCATTTATTAGGTAAAGACCCTCGTACAATCGTTTCTTGCCCCCCAAAAGGTGTGGCACACACCAAGATGCACCCCCTCCCTCCTTTCCTCTCTCTGCTCTTCCTTTTCCCA